TGCCGCGCGCCAACCGGGGCCTCCACGCCCTCGCTGACACGCTGGTGGGTCTCCCCTCTCCTCCTCCTCCTCCTTCCTCTTCATGATCCTCGACTTTTTCCTCTTCCTCCTCCTATTCCTCCTCCTCGTCGTCCTCCTCCTCGTCCTCCTCCTCCTCCTCTTCTTCTTCTTCTTCTTCTTCTTCTTCTTCAAGTGTAGAGGTTATTCCGTGATGCAGATGTCGGCACGCTTGCTATTTCATCTCTAGTTTTCGGGCTTTAAATCCAGTCGATCCATTACGTATGAAAAGAATAATATACGTAGTATAGAGAAAGTTGCGTAATGGTGCCGCAAAACACAGCAATTTTTCGTCAGAAAAATTATATTGTAGAACTATGATACAGAAAGGGCGGATAAATATTGTGTCAATGTGTAGCAAAACAATTTCTTTAAAACATTGTGTAGTAACAGTCTACAATTTGTGGGTCCTTGATACCGAATAAGTGCTTTTCTTCAAAACGTCTGTCCGTCTGTCTGTAAATCCGGTCGTCCGTCTGTCGTCTGTGAACAACTCGAAAGCCTAAACTATTTGTACGATTTTTTCGAAATTAATATTCCGCTGTCGAACTGCTTTCTCTCTACACCGTAGCGAAAGTAAAAACTAGCCCACGCCATCCTGTGTCACCACTACTTATTTATTACGAGTACTTTCTTGGGTATGGAGTAACTGGATTTATCCACTTTTTCGTTGCCAGGACCCATCAATAAGCATTTTTCTGTTGATAATCCACCGTTTTTCGGCGCACGATTACTTAACTTCCTCTTCTTGCGAATGCCCTTCGTAAGGGTGAAGAAATAAAAATATGGTGCTGGTCACATTATTTAGGTGAACTCTCCGAATTTGCGAAAATAGGGCTAGATTTTACTCTTCCGTAATATAAGCAATATATTTCGGTTGTGCCGTTAAGAAACGAAAATATTGAGTTAATTTGAAAAAAATAGAACATTTCTATAAAAATGTTCTTTGGGCGGCGATAGATGTCAGCTGGCAAGACGAAGGGACACGACCGAAAAGCTAGCCCCCGTAAGAAATTATGAAACTAGAATGAGAAAGTCTGTGACATTCTGTAGCATTACTGGTTCAATTTTTTCTGCTTGTTCTGATAGAGGCCAGCGTCATTCAAATTGTTTTCTCATTGATTTCATCTTCTGCTTCTGATAACTGTAATCCCGTGCTCATTTCTTTGAATTCTTGCATTGTATACTACCTAATGCGAAGTAGGCGACCATTTTTAGAGAACAGAAATTTAAGCTTTTAGAGCAATTATGAAATAATAGTGCTTGCTTGGAGCTACATATTATGAGAAACGTGATAGTTTATTTTTGGCAAGTAAATACCAACCGCTCGACCGCTTCCAGTGCCAAAAGAACCAAGCCACGGACGACCGCGATGCTTACTTCCCTCATCCTCAAGGGCAGTCGATGATCTGATTCCTTAGTCCCAACGTGCCCATTCCGCGTGAGTACTGAAAGTACTCAGATTGCAGTCGAAGGCATGAAAGATATAGGACGAAATATGTTTCTTATATTTCAGTCACTGAGTGTGCACATCACTGGGTGTGTACGTCACTGGGTGTGCACAAGCCAACACATGTACTAAAATGTCTTGCTCTTGTTCTTGGTTTGGCTGCAGAAGCAGTTCGACACGCTCCAAGCGACGAAGATGTTCGACAAGATGGAGGAGGGAGATCAGCTGCGGCAGATGGTCCAGTGGTAATCCTATATTTGGAAGAACGGGCACACAGTGGCCATCGTTCTACTGTCAGATTAAGGGGAGTACCTTCTGATTGGAAAAATGAGCATAAATTATCCAATGAACAAATTTTCAAAAATGGAGTTTCCGGATAAATGTACTCTTATTTAAGTAATTCTTATGTAATCCCGTCTCATTCTCTAGACAATCGAGTTTCAAAATACCACTATACACTAATGGCGAGATGGATTGATGTCATCAATAGCATTAGTCCATGCCACAGTGTTCCAGTACATAAGAATGGAATGACCGTTTTAATTCTCTTCTCTACAAAAACTTGGTTATGGATACATGCTCGTAACGTTACTTCCACTCAGAATTCACCTCGCAAAGTTTGTCACCAGAGTGAAGGTACTAGATACCTAGGGATCTCCAGGCGGTTTTTTGATATTGACCTCAAAACAAATTTGTCTTTTGTTCTTGTTTATTTAAATTATTTATTTTAGAACAGAGGAAGAATACGTAGAAATAAAATAGCTGAGCCTAACTATTCTATGTTTATTTCTGAATTCCATATTTAATGTTAATGTTTCCGTACTACCGTACTACTGACTAGCATTTACTAAATATTTCCGAAGTGTCAGAATTATTCTATAAAATATTGAGGCATCAAAATGTTACATATTGAAGACTGTGCGTCTATCAATTAAGCCTTTGCAAAACAAACAAAACACAAAATAACTAAACAAAATGAAAATGTCCAATTATTTTTTCATTCGTTCAGAACTTTCGACATTATTCTAGGAGTACGTCACCTGTCCTAGGTATGAAACATTTCATCTTATGGCGGAACACCTTTAAGTTCTAGGCAAATATCTCGTTCACTTAAACAGGAGTTTGTGGCTGCTTTGGATCAATAGGAAACTTTGACCTGGTCTTCCCTACATGTTTGCCGTTTCTAATGCATGTCTAATGTGATCAGTCTTAGTGTTAGAAAACAATAGGTTGTAAGGTAAAACTTACCTTATCACACTTAATAGTAAGGTACATTTAGAGCCCAAAATGTTTACGAAATTGATTAAAAATAGCAATTTATAAAGTTGACTTTATTAACGAGTTTTTTTTATCTGTTCTTTACACTTTATTCGCAGTTCAACGATTATAGAAATACTGTTATATGAGGACAGAAGCGATGTCACTTAATTTTATTTGTAAATGAACGAAATTAAATAGAGTATAAAAATATTTTGTTCAAAAATCTGAGTTTCAGCGTTTTACCACATTAAATTCTATAGATTTCAAAACTAAATTTGTATTTGACTCCCTTCACTAATTTGTAATGTAGATGTCTAGATCAAGAAGTTTAATGTTGAATACCATTAATTGAGACGCAATTTGTGTGAATAATAACTATTTTAAAATTATAATTAATTTTGCAGGTTGGCGCTGCTGCCAAAGTCATACTCCAGCGCTCAAATTCTGCTGTCAAAGTTTCATGAAGTGCTCAGTGTGAGTGAGATGTCCTTAGCATTAAGCAAACTTCATTTGTTAAGGCAGAGCTATGATGGGCAAAACGCCACGGACACTATAGAACAGAGAGACAGAATTGTTTGATTGCTTGGGTAAAGGGTTTTGAGAATATTGCCCATAGAAATTCTTTTGGACTTGTATCCGTTTCAGAGCTACTCGCGAAGGCACGTAAGAGTTCTTTCATGGCAAAAAGCACTGTCGATGTCAAGGTACTTATACCATTTCCCAATTCCACTTCACAATTATACAATCTATTGTATATAAACTGAGATTACAAAAATCATGGGATAGCAATATGCAAATATACAGATGGCAGAAGTATCGCGTACAAAAGGTATAAAGAGAACTGCATTGCCCGAGCTTTCATTCATACTCGTGATTCATGTGAAAATGTTTTAATGTGATTATATCCGTACTACGTGAATTAAAATAATTTGAACGTGAAATGATAGTTGGAGCTAGACGCATGGTACTCTTCATTTGGAAAATTGCTAGGGAATTGAATACTCTAAGATCCACAGAATCATGAAGGTGACCACCTATTTTCATGCATAACTTCTCACCATGAATAACGCAGGGGCCGACTGCTTTCACTTAATAAGCGAGACGCAATAACGCGCTCGCGTTAGTGCTGTTGATGCTAACACACATGAAACACTGCGTGAAATAACCGCAGAAATGAATATGGGACATAATTCGAATGTATCCGTTACGGCAATGCAAAGATATTTGCCTTTTGAAGAAATTTGCAATTTGACGAATTTGGCTATAGCAGCAGATGACCGACTCGAGTCCCTTTGCTAACAGCAAATCATCGCCTCTCTGGGACTCGTGACCACATCGATTGGATCCTAGAAGTTAGGAAGATGATGACTTGGTGAGATGGGTCCCGATTTCAGTTGGTAAGAGCTAGGTTTCCAGTGTAGTACAGTCCCCCACGAAGCTATGGACCCAAGTTGTCAACAATACACTGTGTCATTGACTGGAAATGGTTATGTTCAGCTACTTAGAGATCTTTTGCAGTCATTCGTGGACTTTATGTTCCCAAAAGACGACGGGAATTTTATGGGGGTCAATGCTTAATGTCACCGGGACACAATCGTTCGTAATTAGTTTGAATGACATTCTGGACAATTCGATTGAATGATTTGGCCAATCAGATCGCACGCAGCCCATCAAACATTTATGGGACATAATCGAGAGGTCAGTTCGTGCACAAAATCCCGCAGAGGCAATATGTTACGTACTGAAATCATAAATGAAATGCGTCACTTAAACAACATTTACATTTATGCGAAGTCCTAAAGAAAAAATTACATTCCTAGCCAGAATACAATGTCCAATTCTCGACCCGCTGCCCCACCGGTTTCCGTCAGCTCTGTGCTTGCTGCCGAGAAAAGCCGTCTCCTCTGCGAGGTCGCCTCTCCGTTTGGCGAGCGCCTTCGCCAGGGACATCACCCTGGTGAGCGCGTTCCAAAGTGGCCGGCGCTCCGAGAAAGGAGGAGAGTGTTGCCTTCTCTGTGACGCGCGTCTCCACGCGCTGCTGCCTCGCAGTGACGTCAGAGTCGACGCCTGCCGCCACTAGACCACCGTCCTGCCTCTGGCGGACAAAAGGAGACCCTCCCCACTCGTGGTGTACATAGAAACACCATACAATACTTTCGCAATTAGGGACGGCTTTAGAGGCAGCATGGCTCAATACTTCTGCTGGGGACTTCAACGACTTGGATCCACGCCGACTTCGGTCGAGTTACTGCACTTCACCGGACGAAAGGAGATCCAACACAGTATTAGGAGGTATCCCATGACTTTTGTCACCTAAGAGAATTACAGAGTGTATTTAATAATATAATTATACATACACAATTATATTTGTTGGTGAGCAGTTCTTGTCGAACAAATGCGAATCAATAGAATGTTGCATAATGATAATTAAGCGCACTCTGCTGCCAGTGTTTTCTCTTTGCATCTCTTTTTCTTTTTGCATTTCCTTTTTTTACTCTTTACATGCTATTAGTTATGTGGGTTGCCAGATGACTGATGCTATCTCTCCAAAAACTCTAGTACATTCATTCAATATCAAAACACGTGTATTGTCACAAAATGTATATTGTAAACATTAATTTTATAATTATTTGTATTTCTTTGAAAAAAAATTACATATTTGATCTGAGTGTGACAGCAACGACGTTGAAAGATGGTTCCCATATTAACTGACTTGCCAACGATTAATCCTTGAAATACTGATTCGTACCTAATTTATTTACACCGCTTATCAAAATCAGGAAAATGTTTGTTTATGGTTATAAAATGGTTTTTATTCCTTATTCTTTGCCGAAATAATGTGCCGTAAATTAATACTGGGAGGATAGAAAGATTTTAAGAAATAATTTTTGGGATCAGGAAACAGATAATTTTTTATGAAATTTGAAACTGAAAAAAACTCACACACATTTATGGACAATTATTAGCTCATTGGTATTGGAATTTTCACCTAAAGACTTAATGGGTTTAATGATATAAAGTGTTTAATGATAATTACTAAAGACTGGATTTCATTGTGTTACTGCATATTTTCAAATTTACAAAATTCGTAGTTTTATTGCATAAAATATTATTTTTATATTATCAATTTGTTTTAGTTTATCTTATTTAAAGCTTTCATTTAATAAATGTTTTTTATGACGTGACTCAGCAGAGCTCTGGGGTGGTCTGTGAAACCAGACTGCCGATTAATATGTACCAATTCCGCATTCTGTTGCTCTATGAACTGAGCATTCGTACTTTTCATGATGCCGAATGCCTAATTAAAATGTGTTATTGCAGCAAGGGTATGCGGTGTTATCACGAACTAGGTTCGCTGCCCTTGGTTGCGACCGCCCAGACTTCGGGGTTTATCTTCCCAATCGGATTACATATTGTCATTCTTCGTGGAACCTACCAACAAGAGATGGCATGCGTGAGTCACATTTGACCTTACGTCCGGGCGCGAAGCTTAGTAGCAAGCGCCCTGCGTTTCAAGTTTATCAAATTTCTCGGAACAGTCGTTGGCCCGCGAGGTAGGAGAGACAGTGATCGCATTTTTGACCTATTTAGCTGCACACTTACGTCTGGGAGTTTGGGACAAAGACAAATCTAAATAAGAGCGAAATTTTTCCTGTCTGAAACATACATTAGTTGATAGACAAGGGCAGATCCAGAGTCGATTTTTGGGAGGGAACATTTTTCATTCAAAATGTCTGGTCGAATGTGTCATATTACAGATTATGTAGAATGACGCAGGCGTAACTCAGCTCATGATGCGATACAATTTTATTCGTTTCAATGTTTATACGAAAATACTTTTGCTTGAAAGTTTCGTGTTAAGTTAAAATTAATAGTGACTGAAACATAATGGGAGGAAAAATTTCCCTCATTTCCCTCCCCGTGGATCCGCGCCTGTGATAGAAGATATAATATTTTTTCTTACAATAATGTAGAAATATACATAATTGTAAATTACAATGAAAACAATTAAGAATATTTCATCTGAGTTATATTTGCATTTCTATTTAGTTTTTGTAATTTTATGCTAATTTAATTTCGCGAACGAAGAATATTTAAAATCTCAAATATGGTTTGTTTAAGCAATATATACAAAATTAATTATAAAAATATTAAAATCATAATATTTCATTCACCTTAAATATCACATCCAAAATATAACAGAAGTTGATAAGTGGATTATCGGGAGTTTGTAGACTACGTTACCCCGTTTTATAGGTTTCGATCTTTTTTGCACGTTTTTGCTCGTTTTGGTATTTTTACTGCACGAAAATAGGTCTTTAATTATTATCATTAAATTAGTCGACGTGGACGGCCGAGGCCACGCTTACTCTTAGCAGCATATACTGACTTGCGCTTCAGTCCCATGGGTCGCGGGTTCGAGTCCTACCTTCGGCATGGTTGTTTGTCACTTGTCTCTAAAGAATGTGTTATTGCGGAAGTCCTTGCGTTGCCCTCCCCAGATCAGAGGAGCCCGCAAGTGTGTTGGTCTAGTGTATGGTCAAATACGCGTCCCATAGTGTCGTAAAGGCTGACGGTAAACCGGCTGAAGGCTAGATAAGCCTTCGAAATTCCCCGCTGCCATTAAATTATGAACCACCGAAAGCTTTAGTGAGCTCGCGCACTCCAAAAGAGTGGATGCGCAGTGCTTCCGCGCGCAGAAGACGGTGGCGCTGGCCAGCGAGGAGGCGGCTGCGGCGCGGGGGCTGGAGCTGGCGCAGCAGCAGCGCCTCTGGGCCATCGTCGTCTTCGAGGGGGGCGACGTGCTCTCGCCCTTCGCCACCTACAAGATCAGGTGCCCACTCCTGCCTCCTCATCACCGCCAATAAGAAGGCCAAAACGTATTTGTGAACGCAGTGGAAATCCCAGAATGCGCGCGTTAAATGGCGAAGATGACGGTAACAAAAGTCACACATCTAAAAACTTTACTTTCTCGCCCTTCTTCGTAACGAACTTCGAAGGTACTTTGTAAGAAGAGAAAGTTACGTAATCGTGCGCCGGAAAACGTGTGTATTTTCGGTAGAAAAACTCTCGTGTCCGGGCCATGCTTTCGTAAAACTACATAAATCACGTTGAAAAATATAGGAAAAAAATCCTCTCTCGTGGAGTAGCCAGAATTAATGTTTTGTGGGTCCTTTATACCGAACAATCGATTGACGTCAATACGTGTCTGTGGGTCTGTCCGTCTGGCTTGTGGTCAACGTTAGCGCGTAAACAAACCCTTTAGTCGATTTTCTCCAAAATTGATATTTCTCAAAGTATCTGAACGCATTCAAGGCTTTGGAAGTTTCAAATAGATATTTTGGTTTTAGTTTTTTTACATGAAGCATTTACGTTTTTATGCGTCTTCCAGACTTCAATCCATACGGCGATTCTGTGGCGTCAAGGTAACTCTGAAGATCTGAACTCGTGCTCGGGGTGAAAAAAAAAATGTTGATGGAAAATACAGTAGCAGCATTGCGAAGCAGTTCGAAACAATGCGAGAAAGTATTTGCTTTTATAGCACCACTCGTTTACTTAAGTGAAGACGTAAGTTAAGAAAAAATATATTTTTAATATGGTACTGGTGCTACAATTACTTACAATTTTTAGTAATATGATTTTCATTCACGCTAATGCAAATGGAGTGTATTTCTCTAAAACGGTAAGTTTGGAATAAAGCGTCTATAAATATATCATTTTGTAGATTATGGTATACCATATCAATAGTATCATACGGTATTTTACATTCAAAACAAAACTCGCGTCCCTGCGTGTTACGTAGATATTATTTTTAGGCTCCAAAATTCAACTTTTCTGAGTAATGCACAACAATGGTTTTCTGTAGCTGTAGCTCATTTATTTATGTTAAACTGTTACTAATCTTTCAACTACTTATAGTTAAAATTACGGGAAGGGATTCTGGAACTCAAGAAAACGCGCGCAGATAATTTTTCCCCCCTACGGCACATACAGTTTTACTGTGTTTTGACTGAATAAATCTAAATCTAAAGATCATTGTAATAGTATGTCTCCTATTTGGTGTTGCAATTTTCACAAACACCACTGTACTTTGAAACTGCTGAAATTGTACTATTTATTGTTTTATCAGAAAGCATACAGAACAAAGATGCAGAGCAAACAACTGTTCTTACGATTTTAATGAACGAGTGCAAATCATGTAGGTATGAAAGAAAGAATAGATCGAAGCCTGAGGGAGGAAAGATAAGTAAAAATGGGCTTGTAAGAGTAAGTGATGAGTATTGAGATAAGAAAATAAGTAATAAATATACGAATTAAACGATGCGAAAATAACTTTAAGGACTTACACTGATGTTACGCAATGCAACTCTACTTTTTACATTATTGAAATCATTTATTGGTCAAAAATTGTGAAAATTTAATGTTCATAAAATCTATTAAATCGTCTTTATCACGTTCTGAGAGCTGGCTGTAGTGGCTGTGATGAGTTTCTCGTTGAACGTAGTTATTCTCAGAAATGGTTACCAGATTATTCCATTTCTTGCGATTGTACATACTAATTTTTCATTACTCTTTTTTTATAAATACGCATTTTTATGCTACACGCGCTTGCTTGTGCAGGGTGAACAGCGGTCAAATGGACGATACCCACTTCCTGAGAGCGTTCCTGCATAGTCCTGGTCCTCGAATGCACCCTTTCATGGAGCTCAAGTATTTCACATCGGGATTCATCTACATACAGGTAAAATTTGTTGGGGAATGGAGTACTACCAACTGAACTCAGGCTTTATATAAGCCTATTTTTTGTCTCAACGAAAAAGCCTGCCTTAATATAGGAGTTTGTTTGCTTAATCTACCTGTATTAGACCTGTTAATAATGTATCTAGTCACATAAAAAAGCGTCTCTCGTTGACAATGTTTCTCATTCACTTATTTATCGATTCCAATACAGTTGATGCGAGCTTTCTCCATCATACTATTACTTTTATTTAACTCTGCGGAACAAGCTCTAGTAAAAGGTATTCGAGTGATCTCTCATGATGTTTTTCCCTCCTCTTCATATAAAGCTTGGATAATTGTTTGGTGAAGACGATGGGTAAGGCAAACTATGAAGCAATCTAATATCTCTGTGAAACATTTCCAACTATCAGTGCAGCACAAATGAAGAAAGGAATATTACCAAATGTGACTGATTTTAAAATATATGCGTTCACACAAACGATCACTCCAGAAGAACAAGATACCTGGACTAATTTTAAGAAGGTGTCAGAACATTTTCTAGAGAAAAAACAAATCTTCGGATTTTGTTAATGGAATCAAGAGACGTTTGTGTACATTTCAAAAACTGGACTGTAGAATGTTACGTAAGTTACACTCCCATTTATATATCTTCCCTGATAATATTGGTGACGTGATGAACAAGGTAAGCTATTCCACCTAGAAATAAGAACAAAGTAGCAACGCAACGTGTGCCCCAGCCCCCAGCCCCCAGAAGATAGCTGCACAGGTTGCGTTGCTACTTTGTATGTGCAGAAAATCTTCTCCCTCAGAGAATTATCTGCCCACGTTGCGTTGCTACTTATTTCTAATTTTTTGGTGGAATCGCTCACCTTGTTCATCATGTCACCAAGAATATCAGGGAAGATATCTAAATGGGAGTGTAACTTACGTAACATTCTACAGACCAGTTTTTTAAATGTACGTGCTGAATGTACGAAATAACGTATACGTCATATACATTTTTTACTAAATAAATCAAATTAAATCAAACACTATCAAAGTTTCTGGAATGCCATGAGTCCATGGTAGAAGATTTCTTATGAATGTTAAACAGAAGTTCCTGAGGACGTTCGCAAGAGACGTGGGAGTTCGTCACATTTCTGAGCAAGCTTTACTAAAACCATTTATAAGGAAATCGAATGTGGCCGATTTTTAGTGGAATAAATAGATTCGCAATGGTAGAAAAATGGTGGGCCATGGTGCAAATCTGAATAAAAAACCGTATTCTGTGTTAAAAACAGGTTTAGAAAAATATGCTGAAAAATATATTTCTGATGATTACAAGTTTCATTTTGTAGGTCTGTGTAATTAATGTAAGCTCTACTGACGGTGTCCTTCCCTAGGACCTAGTGGAGCGCAGCATAATCCAGGAGTTCCTACTGAGCGAGCAGCAGGCAGGTGCGAAAGCAGTTCCGAAGGAAGCGGTGCCTGGCTACATTATGCAGCAGTTTCCCTACCCATGCCACATCAAAGACAGGTATTGCCTGGGGCGGTTCTTTGTAAGGTTCACACAACACCCAAAAGTTGCACAAAATATAATATCCACTTCGTTATTACACTATTATTAATAGTATTTCTGCTACTTTTTTTTATCGAAACAAAACATCGCTCAGATCTCTTTCCATAAGAAACATTGGGTACCATGTGACTTCACTTCTGTGTTTTCATTGGTGCCATTTCATCGGATCATGTTCACACTAAACGCAGCGAACTCCGCTTGGCGCAGCGCTATCAGGCTATCGGGTCACCGAATTCCGGAGACGAAGTCTCTCTCCGTCGCGCTCTCAGTAAAACTGTGTCCCTAATACGATACTACGAAACGTAAGTTTTACATCTTATGTGGATGGTGAGGGCCGACTTAAAATCAGTGTAAACATGTGTTTTACATCTCGGATTCTAATATTGCTTTAGTAATAATGTCTGTTCCTCCTCTTGTTAAATTATTTCAGTTCAATTTCAATTATTTCAATAGAGAAGCTTGGACAGGTTCAACCTGTTCTGAAAATTGAAGAAACTGTGAAATCAGCAAAACGAGAGTTTCGTCGACGATTCAATGCTAATGTTTATTCGACATACAAGATGATATGTGGTTGGTGGAAAAAATGCACTATTGTTTTCCTTTCATGGTATGCAGTAAGGAAGAAAAATTGTGGACGAAGACCTGTTATAAGGACATGAATCATATAAGTGAGAAACTTAAAAAGCATCAAGAGACACATCTCTATAAAGACAGTTGTGTTGAACTGCTTTTTCTGAAATGCTTGAATATGGGACTCAGCTTGACGACAGTTATCGTCTCTCTGTAAAACGACATGTTGAAGTGCATAAAAACATAGTCTGGATACTCATAAATTGCGTCAAGTTTTGTGGTGCATATAAGTTTGCATTGCGAGGACATGACGAAAGTGAACAATCAGAAAACCCTGGGATATTTTGAAGATTAGATGATTTTCTCATTACGTATGGAGTGATGAAGTTGGTAATAAATGTTTCGTTCCGAATGTTGCCTACTTAAACTGTTCTGAAGGGACAAGGCCAAAAGTAATATAAACCAATAAATGACAAATTAAAGCATTATTTTCAAGATTGGTTATTAAGAAGGGGCAGATTTTTATGAAATGTCATTTTTTTCCTTTTCCCATTAGAAAAATGACGTTCAGTACAGAAATTAATTTTATGTTATGACAAAAGGAAATGACCAATTCTTATATGTCATTTTGCATTTTTCGAAGATTTCGACCAAAGTCGTTTTTTACCTTTTCCGTCATTTTCCACAGAATTTTTAAGTAGCCTGTTTTGTGTCTTAGCTCATATATTGTAATGTCAATCGTTGTGAAAATTATGTAATCTAAGATTCCTGTGACGCCTATTGACGCCATTATCAGTTCGGAGACTTTCGCGATAAACAAAGAGATTTTCTTGTAAAGAACAAACCGAACCAAAAGTTGGCAAGCTCAATTCTCTTGAACAAAAGGAAGTAGCCTCGATTATGTTAGTAATATATCCAACACCTTGAGTTGTTAATCAGAAATGGTTTTGATCACGTTTTTAACGTAACCTTTCTTTGTTTTTAGGGCATTTTAAAAACATTTTTACAGCATTTTATTGATCAGGCTTGGAAATATTTAAGTCATCAAAATCCACCCCCTAATTGTTAATATTGTAAATATTAATTTCCTTCACAAACTCTCTGGTCAGGTTGCAACAGTCAGTAGCATAGTAGACATCGTGCCAATTATGTTCTTAAACTATTTTCATAATTGTACTCATAAATCGGAAAATATTGGATGAGACACCCCTTTAAGACTATTACTTTTGCAACACCCTTAAATTTAACTCACCTACCGCCACTGGATATTGCGCTTTTTTTCACGCTCTTCAATGCTTTGCAATCAACACATCTCAAATAAACCTCTTATATTCTATAAATACTTTAAAAAACGATTTAAAGCTTGTTTAAAAAATAAAGTATTACTTTCTATTTTAGGTGTAGTTATCCATTAATTCGTTCTTCTTGTAGTTCAAATATTGGGAAACGAACCAATAACTTTTGTTGAATATTTATTTAATTGATGTGCTGGTAAATTCACAATTACTTGATGCCAGATACTACGATTTACATTCAATTCTTTCTATGAAATAGTTCCAGTTGCCCTGCTCTGGTCACGTATCTACTCGTATTTGATAATTAACAATTTCTTCGTATCATAGTAATAGGATATTAATGACTGATTTCAATAACATTTACCTTTTTAAATATTTCTTTACCTTTTGGCATCGCCATTCGACGGATTATAGCTTACGTGATCGTATGCAGACGGGCTGTCCGTACGATCAACAATTTCTGGCAGTTTCTGTTCGACTAAAGGAATTATTTGATTGACTGCAATTTAAGATAAATTATCAGCCTATTTTCAAATCTCAAATATAATTGGTTTTGCAGTTCAATTAATAACATTGCCTAATATTCTCACGTTATATTAAATACCATTCCCGATCAGAACCATCCTTTGTACAAATCAATGTGTTCGTTGCTTCGTATCTTCGCGCGCATTCAGGACCTTCTCAAATGAATTCCAGATGAAGAAACGTCTACCGTTCCAAGACGACTTCTTTCGTTTTCGCGTACTCCATAAACAGTTGTTTTTTAAGCGGTTGCCTTTTTATTCCTAAAACATACCTTTCTCACTTCTATGCGTTGGTGGCACATTCAGTCTGAAAATCCCTACATCATTTTTTATTCTATTTTAATTTTTTAAATTTTCTTTTGGATAGGACAATACAAAGATCAGTGGTTAATACACTCTACATTTGTTATGCTAGTGGCGTATATTTATTTACTTACAGTATTCGTACTAATAATCTAAAATACAACTTACATTACTACTAGGGCGGTAGAGATATCTTTATATAATATCTCTTCTTCGATTCGAGATCTGAGAATTTATTTAGGAATATATGGAAAGGAAATTTATTCTTGATGTGTGTTCTGTGTATTGGATTTTGGCAGAGTCTTAGGAGAATTAGATAGGGTATATTTGAGATGTTCACGAAAAAGTGGGTGGATACAAAAATGATGTGGTTGATTATCGGTTCTAGCAGGAATTCGTTATGGAGTTGAGCGTTGGAGATGTACCATGGGGCATTCGTGATGGTGCCGAGGAACTGGTTTTGGATTACTTAGTTTTTTTGTATTGGATCATGCATATAATAGTAGTGGTCGTATGATAGTTTCATATAACAATAAGACAGTATTGAATGGTAGTTTAGCTAATCTAATTATTATTGGTTTTAGTTGGTGTAGTTTTATTTTTGCTTATATACCTTTATTGTCGATACGGTTTTTCCAATTAAGTCTGGTGTCTAAATAAAAATATATTTTATGGGTATATTATGAGGATGCCATTCCACAGGTTCTTGATTCATCTGTAACGGGGGTGGGGGGACGTAAGGTTTTAACGA